ATAACTTCCTAAGCCATTATACAACATTAAATTAAATTAAGTAACATGAAACAACATTAAACAATATGAAATAACATTAAATAACATTAACCAACTACAAATTATACAACATAAAAAAAACATTTAACAACATGAAACTTAAACAACATTTTAAAAAACATTTAACAACATAAAACTTAAACGGCTACTCCATGCTGACGTCACTTAGCTGTTGGATTTGAATTTAAGTTGTAGTTTTTAAATAATAAATTATGTTTGGCCCTCGGTTGGAGACGGTTTTTTGTGGCAAGGCTAAAATGAGCCCTCTGGCGGTTGGAGACGGAGGCAAATATAGCCATGTACTGTTCATTAAAATATTAATATCTTAAAGAATCTTGGAAGGCCAGAGGTCTAAAACGAGCCCTCTGTCCAACCCTCGGTTGGAGATAGTCTTAGAGAATCATGGGATTTGAGGATATGTGGTGAAGGCACTACCTAGCTAGCAGCAAATCCAATATGATTTTTCAGTGCTCAATCATTGGATTTGTGTGGTCGACTGAAATGCAAATTTTTGTATGTTTAGAAAATATTGTCTGATGAAAACTTGATCTATGGTGTGCAGAACTTAAAATATTGCTGTGCTGATTGCACTGTGTATTAGAGTACATGTTCATTTTTCCCAGACAAGCAACATTTATTTTATGGCAAAATGTGATTCCGTTTCAGTTTATGTGGTTACGCTCACGTTTGCGTGTTAGTGTGCATATTTTACTTTTTCATATTTACCTAGTTACTTCACTTTGCCCTTCTATCTTTATATCTCCTCTCCATCTCCTTTTTGTTTTCCTTCTTTACTCTTTATTCTTTCTTTTTGATTAAAAAAAAAAATTCTCTCTTTTTCTCTGTAACTTCTTTCGTCCTCTGTCTCTCTCGATTTCTCTATCCTACTTTCCCTGGTCTTGCCTGAGTGCATGTCCTATATGTAGGCTTTAACTGATCTATATATCTTTTGCAAAAATTAGTTCAGAATACTTGTGATCATTAAGCCAGATAATTCATAATTATCTAGTTAAAAGAGATCTAATTAACTTTATAAGCTTTATTGCTTGTAATATTGAACAAGTCATGTTTAATGCGTTGGTTTGTCTAACAAAAAATGTCCACAAGCTAGTACATAAGACAACTAAGAACCCACCTGCAAACAAAGACAATGATACGATGTACGACAACTATTAGACCTGAAAAGCTTAAACTAACACTTAAGAATGTGCCTACAATGTATATCAAGTTACTATCGTTACAAACATCTAGCACGAGATAAAAATTTGGATTAAGTATCTAAAACTCTCCAACTTTTTAGTGTTGATCTAATTGATCTCAACCTTTTTGTATATTCCAAACAAGTACCCAACCTATAAAAAATGTTACATCCGTTAATTTTTCAAACTCAGATTATATTCAAAACCCATTAACTGGGTATATCATGGACAATATTAATATTAGTTGCTCAAAATCTAAATTTCAAATATAGATGATATAATATGGAATCCAATGATCAAACAAGTATTGAATTGAATAAAAAATGGACCAAAATTGAAATTAAATTAAGAGGTCAATCTCTTAACAAAAAAGAGGGTTAAGAATTCAGATAAGGTTTCAAGGAGATTGCATATGTTCATGTGATTTCCTCGTTCCCCGATTCTCGGCTTATAAAGCTTCCAATTCTTTGTGGGTAGTGAAGATGGTGAGGGCCCACATCATGGCAGTCCATATCATTTTATCAACCTCCATGACCTTGTTCTCGATGTTAGCAGCTTGAGTTGTAGGGTTGAGTTGGTGATTTTGCCTTGGGTTTGGAGGTGATGGCATGATGGGGGTGGTGGTAGCCATTAGTTGGTGGAGGCTATGCTTCCATGACCTTCTATTGATTTTGGAGACAAAGTAATCCTAGCTAATTTAACAGATGTTTAACTGGGGCTTAACATATGTGAAAATTTCAATAGGTTGAGTACTTACTTCAAATGTTTAAAAAGGTGGATACTAATTTGGAATGACACTAAAAGGTTGGGGAGTGTAGGTACTTAATCCTAAAAATTTTGATTAAGTTGAAGTTGAAACATTATTGTTGCAATGTTTGAAAGCCAAATTAAGTTTGATTGATTTAATTTGGGGTGGAAACGCAACCCAGTTGATGATGAATAGGCATGCATATATTAGCTCGCCATAGATATAGCTTCTTTGTGCTTTTCTTGACTGATCTTTCACTCAGCCTTATCAGACTGATGCATGCATATCCTCTTTCAATTAACTGGAAAGTGGAAAACATAATGCAGGATCTTTCTATCTTTGTAAGAAAAGATATATAGACTAACCCTATGACCTCCTTTCTTTTATGTCAAGCATCAATTTCTGACTTTTTGTAGAGAAAGTTTGAGAGAGCTGTTGTCAATCTGAATGATTTAGAAATTTTAGGTTTGGTAATAAATAGTTAATTTTGGATGAAACAAAATAAATGGAGATAGATATATAATAACAAAACGTCAAGTGTAAAAGAGAACCTAACTAAATAGAACCGTTTTGTGGTTTAGTTCCCTTCTAGAGTTTTGTAAACCTAGTTTACAAAACCTAATCAGTAATCACTTAGGCAAGCATCTAGCTAGCTAGTTTTTGAACATGTCGTTATTCATCTCAGTTGATTCTATAATATGCTTCCGTTAAAGTTGCATTTTTGTCCGTGTATTCCTGATTATTTTTTTGTTTGATCCAAAAGACATTCTTAAGAATGTTGCACGTCAAAATACTCGTCGTTATATCATTGGACTTTATACTAAATTCTCTCCTCAATCATTCAAAGTAGTCATCGTCTCCAAGATATATTTCCCCTTCATATATTCCTATGCTATCCATCAAACTTACATCATTAGTGTATGTATGGAAGATGCATTATACAATTCGAACCAATAAAAAGATATGCGCACTGAAAATTTGTTCCTTCTACTCTTCAAGGCTCGAGCTGTATAGCACAAAATCAGGCAAGGCCAAACTAGTTGCTTATACTATTCACACACTCTTTTTTACTTCATATACACCCTCTTAATTTGCGGCTATCGGATCAACTGAATTAAAGAATATCAAATGGCAGAAATTAACAAGGGTGTGTGGATAGCACACCCCCTTCCCAAATTGCATCTAGGTGAAAACTTTAAGTGAACTTGTTTCTGTACCATGTTCTTACCAAAATGACGTAACAATTCAGTTAAAAATGACATGTGTTCAAAATTAATAAAGTTTAACCATATTATCTTTGTCACTTAATATTGTCATGGAATAGAAATAACCCTATTTTTCTTGAAATTTTTATGTATTATATATGATCAATAATAGAGAGATGATTTAAATAGAATTAATTCCACCAAACGAAAACATAAAATAGACCATAGTGACTACTCACTAAGATTAAGGTCGAAAGTTGATATGCATGCTTTTTTAATGGGAAACAAGTGGAAAGCAAGCTAGTGCATGCTCGCAATAAAGGAAGCAATTATGAATGTATATGCTTGTATATAATTGGTTTATTGTTTTGGTGTCTTGAGTAATTCCAAAAAAAAAAAAAAAAAAAAAAAAATCATTTGAATCCACTTAATAGTTATAGTGTGTTCCTTGACTATATATGTTTCCTTTTATTTAAGTTATACAAGATCTGATTACGAGATAAACAGTATCTCATGCTTGATCTTAAGGTTTGCTTTCTCTATGGATTGATTGTGGCTCGACCTTGGATGTCATTTTCTTTCTTCTTCTGGTTGCTTAGTGAAATGGCGTCTTTGGATTCGTTCGTCAAATTGTTTGGCTCTTTTAGCTAAATTTTTTTCTCAAAATTTTGAGAGGGCAATCATTTCATTAATTATGGAGTTGATCATGTTGGCTTTCATTAGTGGGATCGTGTCCCATCTTTTACTTCTACAACTTATTCTAAGGATTGTTCTTTCATAAATTTGTTTTTGTAGCTTGTTTGGAGGGGTTAGTTTAATTTTTTGACTTCTTTTTTTTTTCAGATCAAATTATCAAGAAATGATGAAGGGAAATTGTCCAAAGTCCAATCATTTGGATAGCCACAAATTTTTTATACAAGGAATATTAATCTAAACTACTAAGAAAGATTCACAATCGAGTATACATTGCTCTAACCAACTTGACTAAATCATGTATTTATTTTTATTTTTCATTTTCTTTTCTGAAAAGATATGTGACCCCGTCACTTTAAAAATAAATAAAATGCTGATAAAGCAAAGTTGAAATGCAAGTAATTCAATATTGATTGGTTGGCTTTGGAATCTGAAAGAAAACTAATACATATATGTGGTAGTGGCCAAGGTTGTCTAGCTCATTTAGTTGTTCATAGCTCAGAATCTCAAAAACACTAACTAAACCACAGAATTATTTAATCCTTTTGTAATCTAATCTTCATTCCTCTTTGTTTAATCCCCTTTAATATTTTTTATCCCAAAGAATTTTACAAACCCAAATAATTCCTTTAGACTTTAGTTCATACATGGGAATATGTCCACCATATCAGATATCAGAATATCTTTCATGTTAGTCTTCATATCTGGGTATCCATAACTGATGTCACATGTGATCTTCATGTGATTTGAATTACAAAGAAAACAAAATATTCTGAATAAGAACCTGAAGCCGTCCAAGGCATTAAGTTACGTTTTGCATGTCATATTCTCTATCAAGTTAATAAGTCGGCCATTAGCCAAATTCTATTTCTTATCATGTTCCATCAAATTTTTTTTTACTCAAACAATATTCTAATCTGGGGCACCCCATGTCCTTGAACTGATAACCATCTTTCAGCTAAGCTAGCCTCCTCAATTCCTCGGAACCAACAAGGGTAGTATAGGAATGTTCACCTGTTGTCCATTGACTACATCTTTTAGCTTGATCTTAGGCCCTAACTCACCCTCCGTGGATGAACCTTGCAGAGGCTTTGATCAAACGTAAACTACAGGAGGAGAACTTGAACTATATCTTTTGTTAGTTTTGCACCTTACGCCAAAGGAGTTTTGATTATCATTTTCATTCGATAAGCATGAAGGTTTAGTTTGGCCCTTGCATGCATTGTCATCACGCACTATAAATACACCACCAACTCTCTCTCTCTTCTTTCATAATTGGCAGTTACAAAAAGAGCCTATGAATTTGCTCCTTTTAAGAAACAAACATCCTTACGAAACAAATGCACCATAAATAACCAATATTATCTCGAGAAAAAGAAAACAAAAAAAAAAAAAAAACCATACTTTCATCTTTTCCTTTGGAAAATATATGTTTGAAACAAACCCACCAAATCTTGCAATCCATTTAACACAATGTCTGCAACAACAATATCACATTTGGAAGACAACCCAACTGAGAAAACCTTTCAGAAATGGCCATCCAATTTCTTCAAGGTCACGCTTTTGGAGCTGAAAATACAAAGGGGAATAGCTCTTCCTCTTTTGGCAGTGAACTTGGCATGGTTTGCCAAGATAGGCATCACAACAGCTTTTCTTGGCAGGCTCGGGGAGCTCCAACTGGCTGGCGGTACGCTTGGCTTCACTTTTGCGAACGTCACCGGCTTCTCAGTTTTAAATGGGCTCTGTGCTGCCATGGAACCTATTTGTGGTCAAGCTTTTGGAGCTAGAAATATAAAGCTCCTCCACAAAACCCTTCTCATGACAACTTTCTTGCTGCTCCTCGCAACGCTTCCTATTTCGTTCTTGTGGCTCAATGTTGACAAAATCCTCATCCATTTTGGCCAGCAAGAAGACATTTCAACGGCTGCGAAGACCTACCTCTTCTATCTCCTGCCAGACTTGGTAGTTACTTCACTCTTATGTCCCATTAAGGCCTACTTGAACTCACAAGGCATCACAGTGCCATCAATGTTCTGCTCGGGTCTAGCGCTTGCTTTTCACATACCGGTTAACATCTTGCTTGCGAAAGCCAAGGGTCTCAAGGGTGTTGCAATGTCTATGTGGATCACTGATCTCATGGTTGTGGTTCTACTTGCCTTGTATACGTGTGTCATTGAAATTAAGGCAAAGGAAGGGAGGTGGAAGGAAGGGGGTTGGCTTGATCAACATGTCAGCGACTGGAAAAGGTTGCTCAAGCTTTGTGGACCTTGCTGCCTCACTACCTGCCTTGAATGGTGGTGCTATGAGATATTGATGTTGCTCACAGGCCGGCTTGCGAATGCCAAGGAGGCAGTGGGAGTATTAGCAATTGTGTTAAACTTCGACTATCTGCTTTACTCGGTGATGCTTTCTTTGGCAACTTGTGCATCAACCCGCGTCTCCAACGAGCTTGGAGCAAACAGAGCAGGCCCTGCTTATCAGTCTGCATTTGTGTCTGTTGCAGTGAGTGTGGTCTCGGGTTTCATAGGCGGTTTGGTGATGTTAGGAGCCAGGGGAAGTTGGGGGTCTTTGTTCACTCATGACAAAGGAATTTTAGGAGGTGTGAAGAAGATGATGCTGCTGATGGCTTTAGTCGAGGTGGTGAATTTCCCTTTAGCAGTTTGTGGAGGGATTGTCCGGGGAACGGCGCGACCGTGGTTAGCCATGTATGCAAATCTTGGTGGGTTTTACCTCCTGGCCTTGCCCTTGGGAGTTGTCTTAGCCTTCAAGATTGCACTTGGGCTCAGTGGATTGCTGATAGGGTTCTTAATTGGAATGGTTGCATGCTTGATTTTGTTGCTAATTTTTGTTTTGAGGATCAATTGGGAAGAAGAAGCTTGCAAGGCACAAACACTTGCTTCCGTTGGTTGTCAAGCACCAGAATAACCTAAAAAGGTCTTATCTTCATGGTAAAACCGGAACATGTAAAAGTAAATCACGTTTCGGGTCGCCAGCTATGAAATGGTGACTCCGACAGCCGGTTCTACCAATGTTTTATTGTACGTTAAACATTCCCTGGCATATAAAAGTGCAATTCCTATGCAGTCAAGATATTGCTAGAGAGCAAGAGGCTAATGTGGCCTCCAAAATGCATATGCAGACAATCAATTCCATGGCGGAAAGAATCCGGCTAAGTCGGACGTCATTCCGCATGAATAAACTTTTCTCCTATTTGCAAATTAAACACAAGAAAAAATTCGTTGTACAGGGATGAAATTGCAATGCCATTGACACCTCTCTCTGAATAACATCACTGTTTCCCTCTTTGATGAAGAAATTAGCATCACAGATCAATGGCGACAAATGGAAGATATCATCCGTCGATGAATCCAGGTTTAGTACTTGAGGACTCAAGCTCTTTAGCTTTCTCCTCATTGAAGCCAAGGCCAGCCGTTATCTTGTGGCCCAGAGATTCCCCTTCATACCAAATGCCAAGAAGTAGATGAGATGTTGTAACTTCCCCGCTATCACCTGCAATTGAGATGTTACTAAATTAAATCACTTAGACTTCATAGCGCAGCAAAAAGAATTGAGAATCCCGATAAGAAAAAAATGGCCATGTGCTCTTATAGCTTAATTCAACATTATCTACAATTGCGAATTCTGGAAGATGGGAGCTGCCACAGAATGCAAAGGTTTTTACCATATAACATCAAATAAATGAGATATTCTACTACTGTTTCTTTTCACCTCATACATAACGCAAACTCATCGAAGCCAATCCATGGATCCTCTACTCATCCTCTTCCCGCAACTATGCAGCACCTCACACTAAATCTTATTTAAAGCAGTCAGGAAAAAAACGTTGCACAACGGAAATTCACAGATGACAGAAGGAAGAATGAAATTGCGAAGCATAGGAAACATCATACACAGTGCGAAGAAAAAAAAATCCCACAATCATATGTTATGTTGTTCAAAAGAAGTTACCAGCCCACATGTTCGTTGATATCATCCACGATATTATGCATTACCTCCCAGTATATTTGAATCCATACGTTTTCTTGCATACCCAAGATACCACTTGATTGAGCATTCATACCAATCCCAAACCAGTAGAACACCTCAGGATACATATACAGAAACAATTTTAATTCACATAAATTAAAAGGCCAACAAAAGAGAAAGAAATTATACAAACAGAATGTCCAGAAATTCACCAGATTTTTTCTTTTTATCAACAGCCCAATCAAGCACTAGTTGAGCTTTCTCAGTCAATGCGGGATGCTCAGGACTGAAAAACCACATGTCCGCTTTCCCAAGTAACTTGATTGTTTCTTAACGCACCTGAGTAAGTGTAATTGCATTTTCCCATAAAAAATTGGCAGCGAGACTGGTTCCTGCTACCCAATCCAAACGCAGCTAAGTATACCACATAATTCACTAGATTCACTACAGGGGAAGTATGAGGTAGGATCAGATATTCATAAGATAGCTTTCTTTTCTTGGTAAAGATGATAAACATAGTCTTGGTATCTTATATTTGCATCCCCTTTTACCTTCACTAATTTCACAACAAAGCTATTGTGCATAAATTATAACCGTAGAAGCGTGCACACAATTTGCCAACTCAACTTCAACATATGCAGTTCACGTAAATTCTCCACATTCCACACTATCATAATCCCACAACCATCTCAATTTCAAATTTTACAGTTCTGGATTTACAAATATTAGTTCTTTAATTCTAAGGATTGTTTTCCACCTCAAAGTGTGATTCAACATGATCGAAAATGGAATCCAGACGTAATTATAGCAGCAGTAAGACAACATATAGGAAGATGACTCCAGAAAAAACTTCCCCAAAAAAACAAAAAATTACTAAAATTAACAACAATAAAAGCATAGAATGGTCAGAAAATTGCTTACCCTCAATGAGGATCCCCATGAGAATTGCTTCAGTCCCAGTAGTTGCATACTTGGCTTCCTGGCTTCCAATTCACCCATGGCAAATGACTTTATAGCCCTCCAAGACCACCTGCATCCACCCTCCCAAGTCCAAAACCCCAATCCCAACAAAACCCAGAAATCAAAACAAAAAACCCACCAAAAAAATCAGAAAAAAATACTCACTTGGGCACTTTCTCAGTGGACGAAACTATTTCCGCATTTCTGCAATGACCAAATCAGAAGCATCTGAAACAACAGCTTGGTCATCCAAAAACGTGAAGAAAAAAAAAAGAATTGAAAATTCGAGAGAATTGGGGTGGTGGGGATGTGAGAGAGTGGGACTTACCCGGTAGGGAGGCTGAGACAGACGGTGGCGGAGAAACGGTGGAGCTTCGGCTCTTGGGTTCTGACTCTGAGGCTTGGGGGCGGAAGCGAGAGGCAGCTGGCGGTCAGCCATGGGCTCTGCAAATTGTTGGGTCTCGAAGTGGGGTCGGGTTCAGTTCTGGGGATCGGGGGAAGGTGGTCGTTGGAAGCTTGGAGATGGAGTGAAGGGCCATTTCTCAAGGTTGAATTGGACATGTGGAAGGATATGGGACAGGAAGCAAGGACAGGGCCATTTCTTCAACCCAAAGTTCTTTACGATTGGGCTTTTTGTACTCCGTTTGGGGTGTCCACGGTTCGGATTCGATTAGGCCATCTTCAACAGATCCGGTCAAAGGACCATAGGTTAAAATATAATCCATTTTGATACGAAAATTGTCATCAATCGAGGACTAGGTCAAAGGGCTTGTGGACCCCACTAGGCCATAATTCATCCACCAGGCCAACAAGCTAGCCAACCCATTTGCACCAGAGCCAGCTCTAAGATTTCAGGATGCAAAAATGAATAGGAGGCCCTAAAAAGTGTTGAGAGTTTAGTTTTTAATTTTTTTTTGTTCAAAAAAAAAATTTAGTTTTCAATTGAGTTTATATAAATTCTAATAGCACAAACAAATTTAACAAATCAACAAGCGGAAAGGTGGCATGTTGTTTTTCCTTAACTATTTAGAGGTCCAAGGTTCGAATTTTCATTTTATTGTGTGGAATTTTTATATTATTTTGTGAAAGCTTATGCATTTAATAAAAATAAAATAAAATAAATGATGGAGACGAGTTGCTAACCCCTCCCTTTAGTCGATATTAAGATGAATTAATACCACTTGCGCTAATATTCAAGTTCGGCTACTATATAAACCATATGCATGCAAAATGAAAATTTGGGGCCTTCCGATTTGGTGGTCCTCTGCGGTGGCACCACTTGCACTTTTTCAAGGCCGGCCCTAGTTTGCACTAGCCCAAACCCATGCTAGATGATGTCATGTTACTGTTTGATTTTTATTTTTATTTTTTTGGATGAAATTTTATATTTTAAAATTTAAAAAAAAAATCTAACTTTTTTTCCTTATAAATACCTAAGTCATTTTTACACCATCTCTCACCTCCTTTTCACTATTCCATACTATCTTACATCATTTTATTTCAATTCTTCACCAATTTTTCACATCATTATCATTATATAAAGATAAGAAACCAAGCTTATTCATTTAAGGACAAGTGGCACTCAAAATATGTCCAAATACCTTATTTTAATATGGTAGTTTGGTTCAATTAACTATATTAATTCAATTAAAATAATAAATTATTAAGGGGCTAAAAAAATAGGCACCTTTGGTTGGAGATGAATTTTTTGCCAAACGGGCTATACTTTGGCCTATGACTTTTTGGCCCTCTCAGTTGGAGATGGTATAAAATATGGTCTGGTACTATTTATTTAAAAATAATTTTTTGTAAGGCTATAAGGTTAAACATGACCCTTTGGCCCCTTTTTGGTTGGAGATGGCCTATTTATCTCCTACAACTAATTTGGGGTAGTTTGATAATCCTATTGTTTTCAATTTTTGTTTTACATATTTGAAAATTAATATTTGTTAAATAAAACTACTTTTTTTTTTTTGTTTTCAAATTTTGGCTTCCATTTTTTTATTTTCAATTTTTATTTTTCTATATATATAAAGAGAAAAGGCCAGTTTGGTGAAATATTGGATAACCCCTAAAATACCCTTATTTAATGACTCTGCGTAAATCAAGGATTTAATACCAAAAGATAGATAAAGAGGTAATAACATTAACTACAGAATTTGAAACCTAGTGGAAAGTGAAAAGGAATAGACAGTTGCCAGTTCAGTTATCAGTCCTATTCCCACAATCGAAACCAGAGAACGGTTTGACGATTCCCATCCTCTTCACACCTTCGATCCCGGACGCCAACTTTCAGGAGCCTAATCTCCTGGTTGTTGCTTATCTTCCCTTGTCTCTTCCAATCGCCATATTTAAGTAAGTGTTCCATTTTGTGCAAATCCCTAACCCCAACTTTCCTTACCATTTAGCTTTTGATTTCAACTTTTGATTCACGATTTTTTCCATTTGCAGTTTTTTTATTTGGTCCCATCATCTGCACAGTTTTTTTTTTCTTTCTATCTTGCCTTTTGTGTCCTTAGTAGCTTCCATCACTCTTGCTCTCTCAAAGATTGCACTGAGGCAGAACACGCACTCACTCAAAGACAATCTGGTAAGCATTTTCTTTTTATGTGATATTGTCTTAGATTTTTTGTATTTTCCCTAGTTTTTTGGGGGGTTTGTTCAAGTTCTCGAGGGATTTCAAGTTTTTGGGTTGATAATTGAATGTGGAGCTTAATGTGTTTTTTTGTGGCATTTTTTAGTAATTTCTTGGTGGGTTTTGTGTTTACTGTAGTCAATTTTGGGTTTTGTAGATTGAAACAACGAGACTGAAACTCGAAGACGAACAAGCAGAGGACGAGGTCAGTGAAGAAAAGAGAAGCAAAAGTAAAAGGAAAAAAAAAACTTTAGTTATTTTTTATTATTCTCCCTTTTGAAGAGCAATTTTTGGATTTTTTTAATTAGTATTTGGTGGGAGGTTCAACACTAACCAACTGCATACC